TGTGTGTGTGTGTGTGTGTGTGTGTGTGTGTGTGTGTGTGTGTGTGTGTGCACAGACTAATTTCACTTCTCTTTTCATTTAAAGCTGCTGGTGGAAGTAGAAAACGTCCGTGAATGAGCTGAAGGGTTTTTACACGTCTAACCTTTGTCATTATGGTTGAATGATGAGCAGGCAGAGCAAATCCCAGCTGGTGAGTAGTTCCCTCACTTGTTAAAAAAAAACTTAATTTAGGAAAATCACCTTTGATTCTTTGAGAAGAGTGACTTTGTCAGAGTGAGATTAGTTCTGACCTCATGGTGGCTGCTGGCTTTAATGAAATCTGGCTTTATTTTCATGGATGAACGTCTGATAAAACAATGTAACTCTGCTAATAGAGTCCAAACAAACAAACAATGGGTCACTCAGATACTGTTCTCAGAGATGAGRAATTATGTTTTCAGTCTTTTTAGTGAACTTTCTGTTGCGTGCTTTGATGAGTGTCGTTTCCTGTCATTTCCATAGGCGTGAGTGTCACCAATGCTTGTTTCACTTTGTAAGAAGATATTCCATTAAGCACTAACTTTAGAGGTCTTTATTATCCCTCTAGCTCAGGTCAAGTGTTTATCTTACCGGCAGATAAAGATAAACTTGTCACGGAATGCAGACTGACGTGAGGAACTTGAGTAAAGAAACGCTTAAGATTTATTACTTATTTACCAAAACCAAAATGGTTGACGTGGCAGAAAAGTGTTAAAAAATACTCCAGGGAGACATGAATCTGATACGGCTGAAACACACACAATGCCAGGCTGAAGGAAAGCTGAGTGATTATATGAACAGAAGAAAAGAGTGGTGACACATGGGTGAAAATGGCAACAATGAACAGGTGTGCGAGTGGAGCAGAATCTCAGTGACAAACAGTGGTGGACAAAGTACTCAGTTTACTTACTTTGAGACAAACTATTGATCCTACTGGTCAAATATTACTTCAATAAAAGTACAAATAGCTCTGTAAAATTGTTACTCAAGTTAGAGGACTAGAGTGTGTATGTATTTTTCAAAAATACTTGAAGTAATACTACTACTTAAAGTTTAGAAGTTTTTTTTAACAATGTT